ATAACAAATTTCACTGGATATAAATTGCCACTGAAATAAATGATAAAAGTGATAAATGATAACATTTAGAGATAATTTCCAAGTAACATAATGGCATAATAGTGCAAGTTGACGCTATCAAAGATCAATAAACCTTAGTTTTGTACACAATACTTTTACTGGAAATGAGAAATATGTTAAATATCTAAAATAAAACACAAAAACAATAAATAAAACAGAAATAAAAACATGATCATGGAATCTCTGTAAACAAAATAGCTCTTCAAATAATATGAATTAATATTACCAAGCTTATTTTCATTTATTATGCAGTTAATTCATTAGCTGTAGTATTAGAGTAAAGGGAGGTGAATACAAATGTATGTCAAACTTTCCTGCAATACATTGTGTTAGTTTGTTTGATAAAAATCACTATAAGATATGCTGAAGTTTGTGGTTTTATTGTGACAAAACGTTAAAAAATGAAGAATAGATGTTCTTCTGGACAAAAGTAGATTTGGTCATTTTCATGGATTGGCTGTTTTTTATTTCCATTTCAAGGAACACCGACACCTTCATCCTAAGGGACAGTTTATCCTTGACCCAGGGAGCTTTTTCTTCTTTCACAGGAGCTCCACACAATAGGATCTCTTATTGCACATTTTCTGATCCAGACCTCCCTCCTCTGTCTTCTCTCTCTGTTTCTCAGCTCCCATCCTGGATTGATTTAACTGTATAATATGTCTTGGAGGCAGCAGATGTTGGCTGTGTTGAAACTGAACTTGGAGCCAGCCGAGTTCTGGAGAACGTTCTCATGTTTGATTCAGTGATTTTATTGTAATTTTTTAAAAAGAACAATCACAGGTTTTCTGATGCGTTTAAGGCAAATTATCTATTTCTGTTTCAGGAAGCAGAAACTCATGAAAAGCAGATATTAGCAACATAATCTCCATGTATTTTGCTTCTAAAGAGTCAGATGTTACAACAGATCTCTTAAAGTTGTCTTCATCAACAGTTATTTTGGGTTTTTGAATATTTCTTTTGATGCTTTTTGTACTCAACCATGACTGCTTGATATGCGGTGTGTGCATGAAACAATGTTAAAACACAATGAAACCATAGAAACTTAAATGATGTGTCCAGATGGAAACAGAAGGGGGCCGAGATATCATCCTGTGTCAGTATATTTTCTGACTTGCATGTGACCCTGAAGGTTTATCCACTTCATGTTGCTCAGCAACCTCTGCTCCTGCAGACCCATTTCTGACACTCTTATGTGGCTCTGGTTTGGTTCCCCTTGCTTGTTTTCTACTAATCTGATGGATCCAAGTAGATTTATTTGTCCTGTATACTGATTTTAGATCCCCTTCAATAGCAGAGTGCCAAAAAAAATCGATTCACATAAGAATCGGGATTTTTGTTTCTACGGTTCTGAGTTGATTTAAAATGTCCCCGAAATCGATTTTGAAAAATAAAACAAAGCTGTCGGCTCCGTTTTGTAACTACAGGGTGTTCTGACATCACCACGCAGCCGTTACTGGAACGTGCGCATGCGCGAAAAGCACCAAAACAAAGAGGAAGCTTTTAAAATAAGGCGATTCCACTAGCCAAAAGCAAATATATTTAGTGTTTTTGAAAAATACTGGTCTCAACAGTAGAGTTTGACTAAAGATACTGAGCATCAAAATCAAGAAATGACAGTAGTGCAGCATTAATGGATGCGAGTTAAAATCTAATAAAGAAGAAGTTCAACCAGCCTGTCTTCTTTGAAAGCAAACATTTGGACAGTTGGATTAATTTTGGTTTTAACCGAATGCCAGAGAAGACCGCGCTTGACATGAGCTTCACTCAGTGAACTGTTAGCAAAATTAAGATTTAACACTACGGAAACACCGCCAATGAACAGGGCAAAGCTACAGCTGAGCCAAGGTACGTCATACGTTACGCAAACGTTTGTTGCCATGTTTAGCAACGAAATGCGCTCCGACGACAATATTGATACTTTACAGAAAATAGTCCTCTTCCAATAAATGAAAAAATAGCGTCCAATATCAGGCTTTTGTATCCACAAAAGACATAAAACGGGAGTTTTGTATTATGTGCATTTTTGTGATTCTGCACTAAATAACTACACAGTCTATCAAATGGCTAAAAACATCTGGATGAAGATTGCAACGCCATTGTCCGAACTCCATGACTGTTTCAGTGATTACATCTTATCCTGGCTTAATATTTAAAACTTGATATATGCCAAAAAGACACTTTAATGTTTCATTTAGTTATTTTGTCTTTCGCTCCACTAAAAAGTGTGGTGTGTGCGTTTATATTGAGTCTCAAAAGAGAACCATCTTCACTACAGTTGCACGATATTTGGGGTATTCTAAGTTTGTACGTCCAATGACTAAAATTTTTCTCTTTCAATGTGTTTTCTTAATATGTACAAGAAGAGGTGAAAAATATTCCTTTATTGATTCAGGATGAGCTGTTTTAGGGCTTTAAACCTAAATAAGCTGCTGCAGGCCACGCCCCCCAGCTCAATGTTTACACTCACATGTGAAAATGACTACAAGCAGATGCGCTATTATACAACCGTACATCTTTGAAAAGCAAAAGTGGGGCCTCCTGCACAATCAACAAGAATGGTAAGTCAACAACAAAACAACTCATCTTTTCCAGCAGCCATTGTACAGCACATGCAGCAGTAAAAATCAGCGGACCAAAAGTGCTGGAGCTCAGCTTGGGTGACTAGGTAACGAACAAGAGCCCGCCGACTGTGACTTAATAATCTGGGGGTTTTTGAAACGGCTCATTTGCCAGACACCAGAAAACATTAACTTGCTGCCAAACAATGTCTGGGTGTGTTTTCTTTAAGCGCTTGGTCTGTTTGTAGAAGCAGCTGAGACCCAAATGTAAGTACAAAAACACGCAAAAAGTGAATTTTGCATAGTAGGTCCCCCTTTAACATATCATAACTCAGTGGAACTTTTATACTCGACGTGCGCCACTCCCTCCTCATTCCGCCTTTTACGGCACCCTGCAGACATGATGCGAGGGTCTCCAGCGAGACTCGAAGAAAACAGAAAACAGCAAAGTCATCCAGTTCTTCAGAACGCCGGCTTAATAAGAAACAGAGAGACAGCAGCTTTGAAATGTCCCCGCACACATTCGTCTCCGCTGGCATGTTTGGCGACACTAATGAAGACGGCTTAATGCGAAAAACATGTTGGAGAGAAATCCATCAATCAGAGGCAAACTCATAATCAGCACAACTGAGTTTCTGTGACACTGTTTGACCCGAATGCAGCAGGTTTTCGGGTGGCTTACCGTCCCTTTGAGTGACTTTGACTATCAAAGCCGCCTCATTTCCACCTCATGTAGATCTCATTCCTGCTGCAGCACAAAGAGGGTGCAGCGATGCTTTGATTGGCCACAGACGACAACAGAGGGGTCAGCACAGCAGAACAAGCCTCCAGCCTCTCCTCAATGCAGAGCTTCTTATTAATACCCCTCGTGGGCTTCCTTCTAAATCCAGCGTTTGTCCGGATCTTGCTCAACAGCTTTTCCGGTGAAGGAGAAAAGAAGGACTTTGTAGGCTTGGAATCAGTCTCCCAGAGCGAGGATCCAGGATTAGAGCAAAAGAGCAAACACCGTGGAGCGTAGCAAGGACAAAGGAAGGCGGCAATGAGGGGTTTAAGACTCCAAACAATGGAAATTAATTAGAAGTCCCTCAGAGGAGCTTTGCTCTTCTGATTAAGGAGGAGGAGGATTAGAGGTTAAGCACATGAAATACTGTTTTTGAATTGGTGGGGCCTCTGTCTCCCGGACTTCAGTGAAAACATGCACTTAGACCTCACATTGCAAACAATATCCCAGCGCCGTATCGCACAAAATGTGTTTGGATCAGAAACAGAAGATAAAATCCACTTCTTTACACAGTTGTGCCTTAAATCAGGGGTGCCCAAAGTGTGGCCCGTGGGCCACTTGTGGCCCTTGAAGTGTTTTTTTGCGGCCGCTAAATGTAATTCAAGAGTGGTGCAAATTTGCCTGTTTTTTAAACGTGAGAGTCATGCACAAAAAAATCAAATGGAAAATGCAAGCTAACATAAAAAAAAATATCCTATAAAAATANGNGAGAAAAGTAATAAAATTATGACAATAAAGTCAAAATAATACAATAAAGTTGTATTAGTTATATGAGAATAAAGTCATGATATTACAACTTGATTCTTGAAATATTATGACTTCATTCTCATTATTACTATTTTTATTCTGTTATTTTGAGTTTATTTTTGTAATATGATTTTATTCATGAAAAACTATGACTTCCTTTTCATATTCCAACTTTATTCTCATAATTTTACTTTCTATTTTTTTTCTTAGTATGGCCTAGTATTCCTCTTTTCTAAGCTTTTTGTCTTTCAGTTTAATTTTATATTATATACAATCACAAACATCCAGCAACTTTTACTCAAATCACTCATGGGTCTAAGTAAAGATAAATACAGCAAGAATTTTCAACTAAAGACATGTATGCAGTATTTTTTCCAACCATAGACAAATAATGTTTTAATTCAATAAAAATGTCCTCTGAATTTTTATTAAGCCAATTTTATTTATTTTTTACTTGTTTTAAATGTTTGTTTGTTTGTTTGTTTTATACATCTTTTGCTTCTGTGTGCTTTTCAATCAGCATTTTTATAGGAATAATTTGTTTTTTTCAAATGCCACAATATATTAAGCCAAGCAACTAATTAATTAAGATGCATGTGTCAATTAAAATTTGATTGTGTATTTCAGTTCGAATTTAACTTATCGAATTCAGGCACATTTGGACTTCCATAGGATGGTCACAAGTCGATAGCCCTGCACTTTAAACAGCAAATATTGTGCTTTTTTTGTCTGTGCCGCCACAGAAACATATATACCATTTCCCCGTCACAGTCTGGACCTCAAATGGGGCACTAAAGTACAACCTCCACGCCCCTCGAGTCTCTCCTCGGGCGGGGCGATGACTCCGGTGTCTGGACTAAGTTTTTAAACACTCCTCCGGGCCGCAGGATGCATGAAGGACGCGAACATCCACCGAGCTGCCTCATTTAAAACGCTGCAGCGCTGAAAAGCGTTTGGACTCGCTTTTGGTTTCTATGTGCGCTTATTTTCCTGCGAACCTTGGATGGTTTTTATTTCTTGCCCACCCGGAGGTTTACTTTCTGCCATGATGCTCGAATTTCGCAGGAGAATTTGCTCCAAACTCTGGATTAAACCGGGATTTCTGCGGGAATAACTAAAGAGGAAACAGAGCAAACCTGTTTAGTCAGAAGCTGCTTTCAGGCTGCAGAAATGGAGCTTACTCCTGCAGTGTTTCTTGTTGCATTTTTAGGTAAGAAACTTTATTTTTATTCACTTTTATTTTTGATTTATCTTGACTATCTGCAACAAAGAGGCTTGAATTTCCTCCTTTATCCACCTGTAATCCCCGGAGGTTAATATGTGCAGAAACTTAGAAATCATTCAAAAAGTGAAGCTTGTGTGTTGTAATAATTCATTGCATTCAGAGATGTTATTTAAAAAGTTAATTTATACTGAAATGCTCATGAAACTCATAAAAAAAATCTTTTGAAACAAAATGTTACTGTGGCTAACACAGTAATAATGAAGATTGCTGGGCTGGTTCTCCAGTAGACCTCCACAAGCAGGCTAAGCCACAAAAAGTAATTGCTAAAGAGAGCTGTATCCAAGTATGTTAATGGGAAATTTAGTGGAAGGAAAAAATGTGTTGGCAAAATGTGCACAAACAGAAACTATCTTACAGAAACAGTGACAAATTGTTAGCCATTATTGTTCAAACTTCATTGGGACTTAAGTTTTGATGCCTTGAAATGCTGGTTAATTCATGTTTACATAATAAATAAACTTCATCTCCACCTTGTTTAACGTCCCTTGGCTGTCAAGCGCCTGTTTCATATATTATTTGGGCAAATAATCCTAATCTCAGTGATTCAATGTAGAATATTGTTGTTTTATTTTGTATTATAGACCATGTATCTCTCTCTCTCTCTCTCTCATATATATATATATATATATATATATATATATATATATATATATATATATATATATATATATTTATATGTCAAGAGCAAGATGAGACTCCAAATCCAACAATGCAAAGCCCCATAAGATTTTCTGAAGTATGTGTTTAAAATAACATTGTACAATTCAAAACTCTCTATTCCAATAATCTTGGTATCAAAATTACAGCAGCTGCTATAGTTTCAGAGAAAATAAGGATAGAACATAAAATAATAATTTGGATACTTTTGCCACTCGAAAAGTTTTCTGCATTATACAGTATATAAACCTTTTAGAAATATCACTAATAAGGCTATGGACATTCGTAAACCATAGATCCACATTACCTGTGCAAAGATTGATAACATGGAGATTAAAATAAAGCAAATTTACAGAAGTTTCAGTAAAAAAAACAAAACAAAAACAAATGGCGTTTTGCCATTGACACCATCTACAAAGTGGGGATTTCCTGTGTTTTTACTTAGTAAACTTATATTTACATGTCTAAAATTGATTTTTAAAAAACTCTAATCATAATTGAACAGTAAGATTATTATTTGACTCCAATTCAAGTGTAGTTTTTGGAAATTCTGTGTAAAAAGTAAAACAAATCTACTCACTTTTTTGTGGGGAAAAAAAGAAAGCCCCTCAAATCCATACTTTTTTTTTTTTTGCACTTCTGGAACTCCCTACAATGCCTTTTTGATGAAGGTTCATGGTCACTGGCGTCTGTCCCGCAGTCCCAAATGCTTCCTGCTCAACTGCTCAACTCAAACGCTTTTAATCAGCTTCTAGCCAAGAGTCTGGCGTTTCCACGGCTACCAACGGCTCCGCGGTCTCCATGGTTACCAAATATGTTTGTGTCACTGAGTGGAGCGCAGTAATTCATGTAAAACGAGCCCCCTGACTCAGCATTTAGTGCAGTACATAGGCATTTTTTTCCACCAAGCTGACATATTTGTACTCAAAATCTCTTTTATTAGTAATATGTAAGATTAAAATCTTCTAAAAAACTTAATTAACCACAAAAAAAATTGGCTGGAATATGTCAGTTTGTGTGTGATTTAACCTTTGAATTGAGCTACAGCAGTAAACCAGCGATTGTTGCACCTGTTTATCAGCAGGTTTGAATAATAACGCCTCCTCAGTGAGTTATGTTGGAAGGTCAGAGGGCATCACCAGGCCTCCCTCGAGCTGTTCTGCAGATGAAAGCTCTGCGGGTTAAGAGCCACTTTAAACATCCGTTCCTGATAAAAACCCGTGTCTGAGCGGCGCTGGATTATGGGCCCGCCGTTGACCCGCTCCATCTGCTGCAGATGACAGTACAAAGCAGCGTTTTGGCAGCAAACTTAAAGAACTGCTGGAGATAAAAAGGACGCCTCGGCGTTCCACTTATTCTTAAGTGCGTTTAAGTGTCTTAAAGTCTCAATTAAGTGGTGTGTTATTGCAGGTTAGAGCATTTTCATTGTGGCAACAAAAATGCTCTGTCAGTGTGGATTACAGTGTGCTGGAAATTTATTGGAGGAGAAAAACCTCAGAGCTCAAATGCAGAGTGTTTATAAAAACAGAAATGGAAGATTAACAGACTGTGAAATCATATTTTCATGAACCTTTAAATAGGGCTGGATAATATGACTTAAGAATAATGGATCCAATTCCCAATTTTAATCCATTTTCTTGCTGTTTTTTCCAAAAACGAAATGACAGAAATATTTTTAAAAAGTGGCTTTTCTTTCAATCTTTTCTTTCTTTCTGTGAGTCGTTCAATGTAGTATTAGGGCCAGGGAATATTATTTTTTGTTGAATTTCAGGAAGATAGCCATCACAGAATAAAGATGCAATTTTACCAAGAGAATGTATTAAAATTACAAGAAAAAAGTTGTTTAATGGAAAAAGGCACAGATAATAGATTTTTGCTATTTTTTGTTAAGGAGTTTTCATAAAATTTCATTCCTTCTAATAATATTTGGACTTTATTGTCACATAACTTTATTCTTGTCACATTTTGACTTTATTTTTGTTTTTAAAAATTAAAAAAAAACAACTGCCTGATGCTTATATTTTGTCCTATTCTTGATTTAAATTCAAATTCCAAATAAATAAATAAATAGCTGTAAAATAAGTTTGTGAAAACAAGATGGCCGCCCTGGGTGCGATGACATCACTCTGAATGATGGAAACACATTAGTGACGCAAAATTCCACAATTTTCCAAGAATGAAATCTTCAAAAAGCAAAACTATCCAACGAAGAAATATAAAAAACGTTGCTGTAATCTATCCTTTATGTTGTATAATGAAAACACCAAACATTTGACCTTTTATTACTTTAGTTGTTTTAAAGTACCTAGATTTGGTTAAAAAAAAATTTTAAAAAAAGAAATCTGATGCTGCATATTTGATAGGAACGCCGAGAGACTGAAATCAGTCATTTGAGCCCAAATTAATCTTTTTAGACAATGTTATTTTAGTCCGCACTAACTGAATTTGAGTCTAAATGGGGCTTAACCTGTCAGATTTCATAAAAGCAGAGAAGTTTCAGCTGAAGTGGTTTTCTGAGACCAAACACCCAGCAGCCAGAGAAGCATCTGTTTCAGTGCAAACACGTGTTAAAGATGGGAGAGGAGGGTTTTATCCCAGCATGAGCCTCGTATTGACATTAACGTGGTAAAATTAGATTTTTAGCTTTTATGTCTTACTTCTGTTGTTAAAGTTACGTTTTTTTTGTGTGTGTGTGTGTGTTCATTTTAATCCAGAACAGAAATTTTAATATTCCAGCTGCTTTGGCGTAAAAGGTAAACTCATTCATGCTTATAATTTGCATCAAAATAATAAAAACCAGACAAACATCTGCATGTTTTGTTCTGTAGTAAGTGCAAATACATATTCAAATTTTAATTGACATTTGCAGCTAAATTCACAGATTATATTGTGGCACTTTTCAGATAATTATTGCTATAAAAATGTTGATTAAAACAACTAGGAAGCAAAAAATGTCTGAAAACAAAAAAACACTCAAAACAAGTAAAATATGGTTAAAAAAAAAAAACTGACTTCATAAAAATTCAGAGTAAATTTTTTATTTAAAGAAAATGGCATGTAGACTTCTGGTGACCCCAGGAACCTTTTTTTTTAATTTTTTATTTACATGTTAGAAATTATAATGACACAAAACTTTTTGTGCTGCACAAATGTAGCACAGTTGATTTTCTCTGTATTGTGTTTGATTTTGTAAACGTGGACTTGCTGGTTGACCTTTGTTGACCTCTGGAAACATTTACTAATATTTTTAAAATGATATTGATGATATTTTAGTCTGGTCAGTTTTAAGGCCTCCTTTCAGAATGAGATGTTTTAGGGCCTCCTGTCACTTTAAATCTGAATAAGCTGCTGTTAGCCACGCCCACAAATCAATGTTCACACAATTATACAACAGTACATCTTTGAAAAGCAAAAGTGGAGCCTCCTGCACAACCAACAAGAATGCAGCAAGTGGTTTCTGAATGGGAAATCAACAACAAAACAGACCAGTTGACCAAGTGTACTGGAGCTCAGCTTGGGTTGCTAGGTAACGGGCTGGAGTTGCTAGGTAACATTGTGTCTCAATAATTGGGAACGGCTCATTATCCAGACATCAGAAAACATGAACTTATTGCCAAGAAACGGCTGTGTGGATTTTTTTTAAGTGCTAGAGCTGTTTTTAGAAGCAGTTGAGACCCAAATGGAAAATACAAAAACATGAAAAATGTGGATTTTACACATCAGGTCCCCTTTAAAGAAAGTCAGTTGAACTCCAGTAGAGTCTAAATATTGCCAATAAATTAAATATTTTGAAGTTGGTCTTACTTTCTCTCTGCTCTCAGATAAAACAAACAAAAGTCCTTTGTGTGGCTCCCACTCCAGCTCTTTGGATTTTTTTATTTTTTTTGTCTCGGCTGCTGTCAGAGCTCCCAGTGCTCTTACCTCACCAGTGGGATCAGGCCAACTGGAAATGTTCACTGTGGTTTAGGGCTCTGGGAGTTTTGTGGTCACTTTGATTCGAGGTACAGTGCAGCAGCTTGGGAAAGCAGCAGCAGAGAAACATCTCAGTTGTTATGATTATTGCCTTAATGAAGGGAGAGGTTAAAAAAGATGGCGCTCCACTCTCCGGTGCAGCCGTCACCTGAGGAAGACGCATGAGACTTCAAACAGGGAACATATCGGCTCCTTATAATCATTTTCTCATTCATCTCCCAGTCGGTCTGGTTCCCATTTGGGAGCTGGTTCACATTTGGCTTTAACGTAAAAAGATTTGTTACTCTGATTTAAAACTAGTTCACATCTCATTATGATGCTGAGATTTTTAGTAGGTTTGGACGGTGCTGCTAACTTTAGATCGCAGCTCAAGGAGATAAATTAGGCAAAATACCTCACTTATTTGCCAGGAAATAAGATTAGATGCTTCAGATGACAGGGAAGTAAAAAATAGGGAATTTTCTTAAAGATATGTCAAGTACTTACTTATATTTATCTACCAACCCTGAATTGGAGTATGTAGATTATTTACTTTGGATCAACATTATTAGCTTTTTCTTCTTTTGCTCTTTCCTTTGGTTTGTTATTTTGTTTGTATTTCCTTTTAATTCCTGTAAAGCACTTTGTATTGCCTGATTGCTGAAAATGTCCTATATAAATAAAATTACCTTTACCTTTATGGCTGAAATGATTTAATGTGATGAATCGATTACTATAATAATTGTCAACTAATTTAGTAATTGATTAATCATTAGAGTATGCAGCCTAAAAAAATCAATTTGGTAGAATAACAACATACTCAGAGCGGTAATTAAATAAAAACTGTACAGAAAATGTATGAATTTTGCATAAAAACAACCTTTGTCTTAAATTATGCTCCACCTAAAACTCCTCAACCAACATAGCTTCAGCTTCATCAGAAAAAAAATGCTATTAAGAACCTTTTCAATGCAATTGTTAATCAGATAATCTCAAAAATAGTCAATAATCATCCATACACTGTATTGATAAGTCAGGCAGAAAGAGCTAATCTTTTGTTGATGTTATTAGTAGAGTTTAGCATTTCCTACAAATGATAAAACATTAAATTACTAATGTATTGATGCATATTTTATGTAAAAAAAAAAAATAAGTGGTTAAATGGAAAATCTGCGGAACGTGCGATTTTTAAAAACAGATTAACCATCAGAGCAATCAACAGAATAATCAACTTAAATAACTGTTTTAATGAAAACTAATAAAATGATTGTAATCGATTATTGATATGTGCTTATTTCTGTTGCATTGCTGATGTCAGTCACGTTTATTTTTATAGCATTTTGAGCAACAAGGCAGTTCCAAGTGCTTTACATCATAAAAACAGAAGAAGAAGAAGTCATAAAATCAATATACAGTCAATCGTGAAACATTTTGACGATGCCATGTTTGCATCTGATTGGCTCTGGTACCAGAAGCTCCCAGTTTGACTTCCATACTGTGTTTTAATTTACCCACTTTAATATTTTATATTTTCTCTCAGTCACTTACAGTTCAGTTTATCAGATTTCAGTCAGCTTTATTACCATGATGAGGACAATTCAGTTACTTTATTTGTCCCTAAAGGAAATTAAATGTTATCATAACTGGAGATTAACAGTCTTTGTGGAAGTGGACTAGTTCAGGGCATTATGAGTAAATACAACTCACAAATCTAGCGCTACAGGAAGAAATGGCTCTTTGACCAAAGACAAAAAAGAAATCTCACACGAGTTCATGTTTGTTTACATTTTGTGAAAAAGGAAAGGAAGAAAGTTGTGTCTTCTTCAGAGGTTTTCCTGTCATTTCCTTCAATGGTTCTTAGTGCAGCGCCTCCAGAGGCGAGGAGGGGAACAGGCTTTTCAAAGGGTTTGGTTTGTTTGCCTCAGTGCAGGGTGAAAGAGAACCACAGTGGCTGAAAATGTCACAAATGTTACAACTTTGGTCCCCAACTGAACCAAATTTACCGGCTTATGAGGTGTGAAAACACTTAGTTTAGATTAACATTGTCATTATTTGTGTTTTCTGAAATGGTTTGCAGGCGTGAACAACACAGAGTCCAGCTTCTTAAAACCATATTGTGTTTTGTTTTTTAAATTTTTCAGGCCAATTTGGTGTCAAACAGCTGGAGGCAGCTTTGGCTTTCTCTGGGCTTTTGGTTTCTTTTAATGAAATGGGGTTTTTTTCACGTTCTTGTCTCATTAGTCTCAAATTCCAGGGCATTGGATGATACTTCCAAGTGAGTTAGGACTGATAGAGTTTAGAGCCAAGTCTTCATATTTCAAGGTAGATTTTTATGATATGGGGTATTACATGGAATAAAACCTCAGAGGAATGTGCGCCTCAGGGCCGGTCTTTGTCTGTGGGCTTTGAAATGCTTTCATTTCCGACATTTTATCCTGACAGGCTCATTCCAGCACTGAGGTTATTGTTTTCCGTTTGGTTGGACGGAAAGCGGGCCAGCAGAACTCAGAAATGAAGCGTCCCACCTTTAAACTGTTTATTCATCATGATCAGACATATTTTCCATTTAGAAGAGGCGTCACTGATGTGTCTGCTTGGTTTAAGATGATTAAATTAAGAATTCAAAAGAAGTTCAAAGCAGCTCAGTCAATTAAAACCACGAGTAAAGCTTTAAACCGCTTTCATTTTTTGATCTCGCTCTAATTTACCTTTTATGAGTCCTGCACAGTTAATTTAGTAGATTATAAAACCCCAGAGTTGCTTTGAGCACTGGACGATAAGTCAATTTTATTGATTAATTGAGTTTTCTGTGTTTGAAGATTTAATTTTTGGAAAATCAGGGAGCTTTTTCACCAATTTACTCCTGGTGCTTCCATAGTTCATCGTAATGTCAGCACGCCAACGGCGGCCATCTTGTTTGACAATCATGTTTTACTATCTATTTGGATGTTGAGTATTAGAGCTAATTTACATTTTTTTATTTTTATTACCATTATAAAGTAGTAAGTTTATGAGAACTACACAAAAAATTTAAATAACACGGATCATGTTATGAAGTTATACTTTGGTTTAAGTTTTACAGCTAATACTTCATACTTAACAGAAATAGTTAATCTTTTAGCACATCAACAATAATTATTATTAGTAGCAGGACAATTATGCAAACAGCTGTGTTATTTTGAAGATTTTTTTCTCATGAAAGCAAATTTTAAGATATTTTTTTCTGATAACATTGCATTTTTTTCCTGCCAACATGACTATATTCTCATAATTAAATAAAAATTCTTGTAGCGTTTCCCTGACGCTTAGTTGTGTAACTCACAGAAGGGATGATTGATACCCAGATATTTTATTTCTAAGCCATTTCATTCAGCTCTGTGTTGTGTTGTTTTTCCCCCAGTTTGGGCTGAAGGCTCCTCTCTGCCTCACTCCAGTCATCGCTCTCTGAAGAAAACCTTCAGTCCTTCATCCAGAGACTCGCTGTGCAACCACATGCTGAAGCATCTCCACAACGGAGCCCGAATCACCGTGCAGATGCCTCCCAACGTGGAGGGCCACTGGGTGTCCACCAGGTCAGCTGCTTTTCCTGCTAGCTATTTTACACAAAGGTCTGAACTGGGCCTGCAAGTACTGATTATTTTAGCAATTTATTAATCTATTAATTATTCTGACATTCGATTCATTAGATTTTTTAAAAATGGCACATTCTACAAATTTTTATTTAACCACTTTAGCCTTTGTATAAGAAATATGTTAAAAGATTCAAATAGACAAGTAATTCAGTTCCTTTTAAAATAAGAAAATAAACATTTTGTTGCCTAAAATGCAGCAATGTAGCATTTTAGGCTACATAAATGCCTGAAATGCTTTATTTTAGCCAGTGAAATGCTAAATTACAGCTATCTTCCAAACTAGCATTTAGCTAGCTCCAAATGCTAATTTTTGGAAGGGTTAGCTAGCTTCCAAACTGAAGCTAGTTTTAGCTTCAACCAGACAAAGCTAAAACTCTCCAACTTGAGGAGTTTTGGGTAAAATGTATTTACAGACAAATAAGGTCTTTTTATCTTTAATACAAAATGTATATCTTTTAGCAAATGTCCTTTTTTTAGTCTGCCGTTTAACAGTTAATCAATTACTAATTTAGTTGATGATTATTTCAATAATTGATTAATCATGGTTAATCATTAATCGCTTCAGCCTGAAAACATTTAATTAAACATTTATTCATTTAATGGTGCATCTAATTAGTTATTTAAATAAATGTGTCCATCTAATTTTGACCCTTTTGGCCCTCCGTACTTACCTTCATAGCTCTGAGCAACGCATTAAAATATCACAAAGATTTAGTTTTAAGAAATGCCCTTTATTTTAGTCTGTATACTCCAGTTAACAATTAATCGATTTACTAAGTTGATCATTATTTCAATAATCAATTAATCACAATTAAACTGATTAATCGTTTCATGCCTAGTTTTAAATCATGCCCTGGGTAAAAATGTGGAATGTAATGTAACTTTGAACATGAACTTTCATGAGCTTCATGTGACTTCCTGTGTGTTTGTTGCAGCTGTGAGGTGAGACCTGGCCCGGGGTTTCTGACCCGATCCTACAGGTTTTACCCCAACAACACCTTCCAGGCCCACCAGTTCTACTACGAAGACAACCACTGCACCAAACCCACCTACACGCTTGTCATCAGCGGCCGCCTGCGCCTGCGCCAGGCCTCCTGGATAGTCCGGGGCGGCACAGAGGCAGATTACCAACTCCACCTGGTCCAGACTGTGCCTCACACCACCGCTAAGGCCAAAGAGCTGAGCGAGCGGCTCGGCCGCAGCTGCAGGGGGGCGACGAGGGGCCCCTGGGAGCCCGGCGTGATGTACGAGCTGTGGAACGAAGAGGGAGGCTTTGACTGCTCCAAAGAGCTGAACTTCACCATGCACGAACTGCAGCTGCTGCGGGTGGAGAAGCAGTACCTGCACCACAACCTGGACCACCTGGTGGAGGAGCTGTTTCTGGGGGACATCCACACCGAGCCGTCGCAGAGGCTCTACTACAAACCGTCCAGCTACCAGATCCCCCTGCAGAACGCCAAGGTTAGTTCTTTTAAAAAAACTAACAAAAAAGGGTGACCTGTGTTGTTTTGGGTCTTTATTTGGATATTTTTTAAAAATTTGATTATATCCTGTTAACTGAGAATTTACCTGCATTTCCATATTTAAAACTGGGGCATGTAACCTTTATAAATGTATTTGTTAAAACTGTCATTATGCTATGACAGAATAATATGAGTAATATGTGGAAAGATTGACCTCTGTCATCTCTTAGCGCTGTCAATCATGCTCAGGTACGACAATCATGTAATCATTCTCATGCTGCTTAATGTGCTAATGGCACAGAAACAACTTACTGTTCCAGGAAAATGTTTTTGCTACGTCATTAATAGATAAACAATGACGCTATTTATTCATAACTGAAGTAACTGTCTTGAATGTTAGTTCAAGCTAACTAGCATTCAGGCTAGTTAGCTAGTTAGCTAGGTGAATGATAACTAGCTTTCAACCCATGTTGGTTTGCACTGAAGCAAGCTGGGTTGAAAAGTAGTTAGCATTGAACCTAGTTAGCTTCAATACAAACCAGTTTTGAAGCTAACTAATATTGAAGCTACGAAGCTAACTTGAATGTAGTCTTCACTAAAAGATTAAAATCATGGACGGTTATTGTTTTCATTGGTAGATAACCAAAAATATTGTTTATTTGTAGATAAATAATGACACTGTTTATCCATAAACTAGCATTGAAGTGAGCATTCAAGTTAGCTTAAATGCTAACTTAGTGTGAAGGTAGTTCACACTAACTTGAATTTAGTCTTCGCTAAAAGTTAGCATGAATAATCAAGCTAACTGGCTTGAACATTCAAGACAGATTGGGAGAAGCTGTAGCCTAGCAAAGGGAATGGGGAGGATGTGAGGTGCATCTACACAAGCATGATTGACAGCGCTAACACCCACTCTGACTGGTTGTTTCTAGTTAGCAATGGCATAAGGCAGATGAGTTAAATCTTATCACAAATTTAATGTCATACTAAACTGTCATGACAACTTTAACAAATAAGTAAAAAACATTTTATATTAGTTACATACTGTATCTTTAAGGATTAAAATTAAAGTGTTCAAGAACTTATTTGTTGAATACCTTTAATATGTAGTTCAAATAAAATGAGGAAGGCTCTCCCTGGTGTCATTAAACGTCAGAAGACTCTCACTTTTCACCAACTTTTCCTCCTGCAAAGGAATTGCAGTCACTCTCCTCAAAGGTGAGTGCGTGGTGACTGTTGTGTCTGTCTCTGCTGTCCTCCTCCTCTTGTGCCTGTTCTCCGTCTCGTTCAGCAGAGTAGCAACTTGTGTGAAACGCAGCTAAAGAAAAAGAACAGCTGTATCATCACCATTTTTTAAGTACATTTTTGAAGTACCGCATTAAAAACTACTTCAAGTGAGTGTAAAAACTTCTCTGCAAAATTAGGGAAGTTATTTCAAATTTCACCATTTCCATCCAGTAAATGTAACTAAATAAATGTAACTAGTTCCTCCCCACCTCTGCCTTCTCGTCAGAGTGTATGTTAATATAAGCTAAGCAGAAACTGTGTTGATTTCATCTCAAATCCAAGATCTCTGTTGTGCTGACAGGATGTAATTTCTCTGTTTACGTTGCTGAACAGGAGTTTCCCTGCTGGCTACAAACTCCTGAATGATGTTTTCACTGTCACAGTCCGCTAAGATTACAATGAAATCCTGCTGGAGTCGGCTATCTAAATAAATACCCCTTTCCACCGGGATAATGGGCTTCGGTGTTGCAGATCAGAGCACAAACAGAGCGTGGAAGGATCACACGGTCTCCCCTGTTGAGCCGAAAAGACCACAGCCATACTGACACTCCTTTGACCTGAAGAGGCGCAGTGTGAAGCTGGGGAATTTCTCTGGGACCAATTAAAACGCGCCGCATTCGTAGAATCTGGAGTCGCGTTAAATACTCCAGAAAACTGGGTCTGGTTTCAGGCGCCTTTCAGGCTCGAGACAAAGAGTGTGTCCAAACCTGAACCTGGTTTAGACTCGGTTCAGTCATGAACACCCAGAGGAAGTTAATTAGCCTTGAAGTGAAAGGAGCAGTAATATGTAAAACTGACTTTTTTGAGCTTTATAATGTTATCCACTCATCAAAAACACACCTGGAGTGTTGAGAAATCCTTTAATCTCCATGGCAACCATTCAGCTGTGGAAAACGCCTGGGTAGACCAAGCTCCGCCTCCAAGGTGCAGCTCCTCCCATGAAACTTCTGCCTTACAGAACCACTCCGTCCTTCAGCTCCCTCAGATTAGCCAGCAGCAATTAGCAAACACCTGGTGGAACATCTGCTGAGCTCATTATACGAGCTACTTCTTCATGAAACGTTGATTTAAAAAAAACAACAAAAAACGT